CAGCGTAGTGTCCAGAGCATGGAGGCGCTACCAGGAGACAGGCCAGTACATCAGGAGATGTGGAGGAGGCCGTAGGAGGGCAACAACCCAGCAGCTGGACCGCTACCTCCGCCTTTGTGCAAGGAGGAGCAGGAGGAGCACTGCCAGAGCCCTGCAAAATGACCTCCAGCAGGCCACAAATGTGCATTTTTCTGCTCAAACGGTCAGAAACTGACTCCATGAGGGTGGTATGAGGGCCCGACGTCCACAGGTGGGGTTGTGCTTACAGCCCAACACCGTGCAGGATGTTTGGCATTTGCCAGAGAACACCAAGATTGGAAAATTCGCCACTGGCGCCCTGTGCTCTTCACAGATGAAAGCAGGTTCACACTGAGCACATGTGACAGACGTGACAGAGTCTGGAGACGCCGTGGAGAACGTTCTGCTGCCTGCAACATCCTCCGGCATGACCGGTTTGGCGGTGGGTCAGTAATGGTGTGGGGTGGCATTTCTTTGGGGGGCCGCACAGCCCTCCATGTGCTCGCCAGAGGTAGCCTGACTGCCATTAGGTACCGAGATGAGATCCTCAGACCCCTTGTGAGACCGTATGCTGGTGCGGTTCCTCCTAATGCAAGACAATGCTAGACCTCATGTGGCTGGAGTGTGTCAGCAGTTCCTGCAAGAGGAAGGCATTAATGCTATGGACTAGCCCGCCCGTTCCCCAGACCTGAATCCAATTGAGCACATCTGGGACATCATGTCTTGCTCCATCCACCAACGCCACGTTGCTTTAGTCCAGGTCTGGGAGGAGGTCCCTCAGGACACCATCCGCCACCTCATCAGGAGCATGCCCAGGTGTTGTAGGGAGGTCATACAGGCACGTGGAGGCCACACGCACTACTGAGCCTCATTTTGACTTGTTTTAAGGACATTACATCAAAGTTGGATCGGCCTGTAGTGTGGTTTTCCACTTTGATTTTGAGTGTGACTCCAAATCCAGACCTCCATGGGTTGATAAATTTGATTTCCATGATAATTTGTGTGATTTTGTTGTCAGCACATTCAACTATGTAAAGAAAGGAGTATTTAATGAGATTATTTCATTCATTCAGATCTAGGATGTGTTATTTTAGTGTTCCCTTTATTTTTTTGAGCAGTGTATATGATGTATCATAATGTTTGCATTTGGTTGGCTGCCATAAAACCATTTGCGCTTAAAGTTTGAATGAATAGTTTGACAAAGACTTGGCTCTGTCCCAAAGTTAACAAAATCCACTTAGATTTTTATGGATTCAGTAAACAAGATACAACATTTGCACAATTTGTGAGCACACCTTTGCAACATTGATCTCTATACAATCAGTTTTAGCAAAACAGACAGCTGACAACAAAAGTAATGAGGCAGTTGGTCTGATATTTGTAACAGGAAGTAGTGGTATCTTTCTGTATCCTCCTTTCTTTTTTGGGGGGGCATCTTTATTTGACAGAGATAGTAGAGAGAGACAAAAAGGCAGGGGTGACAGTGATGATGACATGCCACAAAGGTGCCTGGCCGGAGTTGAAACCAGATAATTTCAGTTAGGCCTTGATACGTGATGCGTACTTTGTCAAGTGAGCTACCAGCGTGCCCCCTATATTTTAAAATAAATCAGACACAGTACCATTTTATAGGTGCTACTCAGTACATACTTACATATGAAAGTATTGTTAAAAATTCCTGGCTGGCAATTGGAAGATGCAATGTTTTATTTTGGTGATGTTAAAGACTGTAGAAATGTTAACAGAGAATACAGCTAGGAGTGATCATATATAATAAATGCTGGAAACCACATTTTTTATGTCAAGGCAAAAATGTCTGTCCCAACATATAGTGTGAGTAACATAACATAACTATGAGAGGCAATACTATCTGATGGTATCCAACAGTTTTTTAAAATGACAAAAGGGCCAACGTGATTTGAGAGGAATGGTTTGAGAAACAAAGGTTCAGGACTAATATTTTAAAAGGGGGAAAATTTATTTTGTACAACTGTAGTGAGGAACTGAAATTATGTAGCACACTTTTTAATTTGTCAAGTACATGTTCAGAATAGCATGTTGACTTTGGAATAGAAAATGTCATTTTTTGTCTTTTGTAGCTTACCTAGGATCTGTTGTTTTCTTCTGTACTGTGAAATTTCTTTTTTCTTTTGGTTGGTTTTATCCCAAATTGTTTGTGTAATTATTTACAGGCCGAAATAAATTTAAATTACACCAATACAACAAGCCAACATGTATAGCGTGTGTCAAGAGAGACGGCAATGGTAATGCTCACACTGGAACCATTACCTTTAAGCCACCTCAACAATAGTTACACCAATAAATGGTGTTAAAGGGGCATTATGTAGTTTTCAGCGGCCACTAGCGGTGCAGTTTTAAGATTGCAACCAGGTGTGTGCTCATACACGTGCTCGCTTGAACTCATGACTGAGCATAATCCAAAACACACCATATAGAAATCCTGCAATAAACCCAGAAACACCTGCACGCAGGCTGTGGCTTTTCACACAGACATGTTCAAGTTCTGTTACTTCTGGGCTCAGAGGCAGCTCAACACCAGCTCCGTACCTTTCATTCAGCGCAGCGAGACACTGGAATATTGGCACAGTACTCCCGAAAAAAAGGCAGAGTGACATTGGCTATAGAGACATACAGACAGGGTGACAGCTTCACACAACATGCTGGAAACTCAGGTAAACTCCCACTGCAACATAACAATAATGTTTTTATCAGCTTGGGGTTGAACTAATCCATGCTCGTTACATGTTAACGTTACATTTAGCCGACATGCTACATCATCGTTAGCTCGCCTGCTGCTTTCAGTAACTAACTTTACGATCTGAGTATCTTTCACCGGAGGCTCAGCAATGTCAACACAGCTAATGGATGATAAGGAAATGGTTAGTAAGCTGGATTGAATATTATAACGAGATTGTGTCACACTTTATAACAGTTAGACCGCAGTAAGTAACTTTACTGTAGTGTTAGTGGATGGCTCTTCCCCTGTGTTGTTGTCGCCATTTTGTTGCAATATTGTAAATTATGTGGGTCACGTTAGTTACAGCAACCGAGAGGTGAAGCTGTGTACCTGAGTATCTAAATTGAATGTTACGAAGCAAACAGCGGCAGGTCTGAACTAATGTAGCGTTAGCTGGCTGCTAGTGGCTGAATTACTATATTCTAGTAAACAAATCGCTCCACATTTGCTTTTTACCATTACATAATTTCTTGCAGACTAAATCAACACTTTGACATAATACTGGTGGTACACAGGAAAGTAACATGGGTCGCATTAGTGGGTGAAGTAATGTGGAAAGCGATACAACTTTGCACTGGATAACGTTAGCAACTGCTCGATGTCAGCCGGCAAGCTAACGTGACTTTCGCTGTGTTTCTCCAGCTTTTCTAATGGTCACTGTGTTCTTACTCAACATCATCTGCATTTGCTGATGGGCTTAAGCACATAAAACTTTATTGTTGTTTTGTATCCTTACGTGGAGTCTGTGTTTTGCTGGGAGCCGGTTGTTTTATGGTGTTAGCGGACTGCATGTGTTACCTGCGGTGTCATTGTAGTCTGAGAGAGACTCAAGAGCGCGCAGAGCTGAATCCGACCCGGTGTCTTCACATTAAAAGCAGAATAGTGGCTGATGCAAGCAACAGAGAAAACAGGCGTGTGCTTCATTTCTAAGTGAGTTTTGAGCCCACTGACAATAAGGCAATGAAAATTTGATTTATTAATAATTAATTTCACTGAAAAACTTACACATAGCCCGTTTGAAATTACCATGTAAGTGTCAAAACACTCTATACTGGTTATAGTAATTACAATATTTAAACGTGAACTAGCCCAGATTTTTAGTCTTGTTCAAAGTCAGATTAAAGATGGGTTCTGCGATTCTAATCCAAAATACATCTTTTTGTCAAATTCAACTAATATCTCTTCAGGGAACGCTAGCTGTCTGTTCTGTGTGTACACAGCCCTGGCTCTGTAAATGGGAAACAAACAAAGTGGCTCAGACCGACCATTGTTCCAGCTATGATTTGTGTGTCAGGTAACGATAAATGACTTGCCAACGGACATTCAGCTTACTTTCTAGTTTCCCAAGACATACTGTTTTTGTGGTGTTAACTGTAGTTGCAGGAGCATTGTGAATATTGCTGTTTGGAGCTGGTGTACTGGCTCTGTGACCTTTTCGTCCTTTCTGCATGTTAGCTTCATATTAGCTTCGTAACAACAACTGTAACAACAGTATGCTGACCCACATTGTTAATTACGTTACTTGCTGTGTCATTATTCGCTCTATATTATGATTTTTGTCCTGGTGTTGGATTTCTCAACAATGCTTAGTACACCTTTAAGTAATAAATAGTGATGAAACCCATCTCAAGTCAAGTGCTTTGGATAGGGTGACCAGACGTCCCCGGTTTTGGTGGCCTGTCCTCGTCTGGAGTTGTCCCCGGAAATGTCAGATTTTACATGGCCAGAAAGACTAGACAGCAGTGCAACTGTTTATCTACTGATTGATGAAAGGTTATTTCTGCCCTGAAAAGAATTGATTATATTCATGAGGGTTATATTTGACAGATTATAACTCACCTAGTACTTTTTACCTCTTAAAATACCTTTAAATGGCCAAAACAACACATAAAATGCAGCATTCTACTTGCCAGAAAGTGATTGCAGCCTCTTCTTATTGACTAAAATGTAGTTTCTGTTTCAAAATGACTTGATTTCATTCAGAAGTGTTATATTTTACAGATTATAAAACCAAAATTGTCCCCCTTTTTTATTTCATATACAATAACATTATATTTTATAATGACATACTGACCACCAAACCAAAAATGTCCCCGCATTTCATTTCAGAAATCTGGTCACCTTAGCTTACTACTTCATGTATGAATATGACTGCATTTGTGTATGTGATTTCACTAGGCTACACTGGAGTATGAAATGAAAGCATCATGCTGAAGCCTCTTACCATGGTTGCAGTGAAGGGAATGTTGTCAATGAGAGAAGAGGCCAGAGCTGAGACCCACATCACCAAGATAATGGCTATAGCCAATCGCTGGTCTTCTGGCACCGCCTGAGAGGGGAGATAATAAGAGCGACGGATAACTGCTACTTTCATTGCTCTTCAGATGCACACACCCACCCCTCAGCCCGTCACTGATTTAAATCAAACACACCAATTATGTTCATTCTTTGACACTGAACCTGGGAACGGAGGCTGAGAGGATGAAGCTGTTTGAATGTGTGACACGATCACAGGTGGTTGCGGCAGCGGTGTCTTTAGACTTTTATCTCTGAGCTCTGCTGTACACACACACATACACACACACAGCAAGGCCAATTCTCCACACGTGACAAGCATGATGTTGTTTGAACCCTCTTGGCAGTCTTCTCTTGGGTACGCATGGCCAGGTTAAAGGAGGCAATATCTCCTCCTTTCACCTGTCTCCTACTTGTATCAACAGAGAAAGGCCATGCAATTCTACCCAGCATGCTGTCCATTGTTTAGGGAGGGTCAGAAACCATGAATAGCACATAACCTGTCATGTGTGATTATTAGACTTACAGAAGCCCCCGGACTAAACACAAGCTGACATACCTATTACTGGTGCAATTCTCTGCTAAGACACACCTCGCTTGCATGATGCACACAGGCTAGAATCTGGGTGACAATTACCTCAGACGCCTTCAGCTGCTGACAGGAATCAGATGTAAACGAAATAACTGAATTCAGAGCTGTGCCGAACAAAATCAATATGCATGAAATGCAATATCATATCACCTGTGCCCAATTATCAGTTATGCCAATTGCATGGAGCCCTAAGAGATGATTGTTAAGGTTGAGAATCAAAAGAAGAAGAAAAGAACTCACTTTTATAAGCAGCGCTGTCTGTTCTCCAACATAGTCGATAAGCTGCAGCTGGGCTAAAGCCTGAAAAATGAAGAGGAGAAGATTAATATGACAAAAAAATCTGAGGAGAATTAGTTATAGGTGGGATCAAACCAAGAGCCGAAAAGCAATTTAGTCTTTATTTAGCGGCCATTACGTAGACAGAGACAAATCTATTCTTGTTATCCTTATTGACACTCTGAGAACAAACAAAAAAATTCACATAATGGTGGCCATTCCTTATGGGGAGGACTACTTTCTGACACTATGCAATGCTAAATGCAAGACTTAGAAAAGAGCAACAACAAAGCAGTTAATTTGCTCTTTCTTTTCATCCTTTCACTCTGAGGAAGATGGTTAAAGAAACAGATAACTACTTTTGTAATGTCAGTAGATCTAAGCACTGATCCTTTATTCCTTTAGTGTATTGTAAAGATGCTTGTCAGAGGGGGATCCCAGCTAAACCTACATTTAATCCAAGTTCTGGCTCAGTTTTTATTTGTTATAATTACTTCATGCGACAAATGGAGGATCCCAACAAAAGTTGTTGTTTAGCGTCATTTGTTGTGGATTTTGTGTGGAGTCTAATATCTCTTGAAAAAATTATAAATGGGCTTTCAGTCAATGCCACAAATATAGTCTGTGTGTGACATACCTCCATCAAAACGAAGAGGCCAGCAAAGAACAGCAATGTGGCCCACTCCACCCGGTGCAGGATGATCTCGAAATCCTGGAGGTCGGCCAGAACCAAAAGCCACAGTGCACCCAGGATAGCAATCCAACCTGAAAGATAGAACCAGACATCTCCCTTTATAGCTTGAAAACACTCTCACATACATATAAATTCTTTCACGGTTTTGTCCAACAGACCCAGAGCTCAATGTGGCATATTTTTAACAAGAGAACATATCACACATGACACACGGGGATCCTTAGGATACTTTTAAAACGTGTCAATTAATTCAAAAACAAAATGGATTTCCATCTGCTCTCTGTTCACTTAAATGTGTCTTTAATCACAACTCAAAAAGAACTCCAAGCTTTATTAAATGTTTTAGATGCTACCCCTGCCATTTTAATGTCCAGGTCTACATTTCCACTGTTTGTCATCTTGCCCCATATAAGTCAGTGATAAACAAAGATCTAAAACAAAAGTATGTGTGAAAATGAAAATGCCACAAAATCAACATGAGGAGTGTTCAACGCATGCCCAATGATGGTCCTTTGACAAGCCCACACTTTGACCACAGCCTTGCCCTTTGGATTAGAATCGTGTCATTTTAACACATTCTAGTCTAGAGGACAAAAGTTAGCACCAGCCTGCTGATATTTACAATTAGAGAGTGTTTTTGAAAGAGGGAAGAGTGTGCATCCACTTGGAGAAAATTTGATTAAACAGGTGAGCACCAGTAATTGCCTTGGCCGAGGCCTTTGGGGAAATAATTTCACAACTGATGACAATTAGTGAAGAAAGAAGAGCAATGGAAGGACAAAAAAAAGGTGAGTGACAGGGAAGATTGGAGACAGAGAGACTGATAAGAACATTAAGACGCTTTTGCAGCTTCTCATCACGTTCACATGTTCAGAACCTGCTGAGTTGTTGTTCCTCTTGGAAATGTGTGTTTCAAACAAATAATTTGGTCCTTCAGTATTTAACTTTAATGTCTCGGTGGTGAGACAGTCAAAGGTTTAAGGTCAATGTGGGTCAAAGTTTGTCAGACATGGCCAATGAGTATGAACAGCTAAGCAACAGGAAAGGGCAATTGCTGAAGTGAAAATAGTTAATTAATACTGAAAATCTGTTTGCAAAAGTTATCCGTTCGAATTGTTTTGTTAATACTGTAGCTAGGTCACTATTCAGTCCTTCCAGGATTTCGCGATGTCACCATTGCAACTATTAACACAAATTCAACAAATCCCTGTGAATTCAGTGTGCAATTCTGACCAATCACCGCAACCTTTACAGAAATTTGACCTATCATCACCTTTTCCTGCAAAACGCTGTCACACGTCAGCAAACTCGCTTCCTTGTTTACAAGTCGCAGCAGATATATGTGATACCAACGTCTGACCATTGATCAGAAAAACAGTATCCAGGTCTTCTTTACGAAAGAGGGGGTGAACAGTTTAGCAAAATGTGCAGAATTGTGGTTGAACATAAAAGGATATCGTCTATTGACAAACACTTTGCCACTGCAAAATATATGCGGAGAGTGACAGAAATGCATGTCCGACAATACAAATCATTGACACAGGCTGCATCCCGGTCAATTGCTAAGCGCCGAAAGAATCAAGGTAAGTTGGTTCATATATCAGACAAAATCAGCAAAATCAGGCATTTTAGGCCACAACAATCAGAAAAAAAGGCCCACGAAATCCTGGAGGGACTGACTGTTGTTAACCAAAGTAGGCTTGTCTTCTTCAAACCAACACTGATTTCATACAGGACATACATTTGAGCAACATTTGCCAGAAAGTTTTTCTTTAAACCTGCATTAATTGGAGAATTAATGCACAAAAACTGTGAACACATCAACATATCACCCTATAAAGTTGTAGCAATTGCGTCAGTAAATAGTTGCCTATTTACACACTTAGCAAACACAGAGCAACATTATCATTTATCTGAAGTCCATTGTCCCTTTGTCAAAAACAATGAATAATAACAAACTAACTTTCCATGTAACTTTAAGTAGTACTCAGAATAAGTAATTCAATAACCACTACAAAGGTCTACGAATTGTTCAAGCAAAAATATGACACTTTAGATTCACTACATTGATATTTCCCGAGGATGCATCCTGAACACAGCCAGTAGAAAGCAGCAGACAACAAAAGAGCTCTCCAATTAAAAAGAGTTTTTAGGCAAGTCAGAGCAGTTTATGATAGACTCATCTATCACTGGCAAGACAACAGTGTCTGAGACAGGAAATGTGCTGTGAAAAATGTCTCAGCGCAGTTATCCACAACATATGAACACAAGGCCAAAGCCAAAAAATAAAGAGATTTATGCTCTGGCTCGGGTATCTTGTACGCTCGTAAACATATTGTTAGATAAGAAAGTGGGATGTTTCAGGTAGTAGTTTGTCTTGCCCAAGATTTGACTGAAGATTCAAAGCAATTTTAATGTGGGAATTTAACCAAAATAAGAATTTCTAAAAATGTCTCAACTGAAAGACCAATCTGTGAAATAATAATAAGTAAAGTCTCTAAAACTCTAAAGTCTTCATGTGTAATGATTTCTTTAGTATGACAATGACTACACACTGATCTTAGCATTTATCATTGAGTTTTACTGGTACACTGGTACGATTGATTTCTGCATAGGTGAGCTGTAACTCACATACCCACAGACACATTAGTGAGATCAAATGACCAGGTAATAATCAGACTTAAATCTTAGCGTGTGAAGTTAATGAAATTTTAATGAGGCTCAATTTTTAAAACACGTGCCAATGAATACACTGGGCTTTCTGCAGCAGTCAACCCCGACTGTGACCTGCATGCATTAATGAGAGCCGTGTTTGGACAGGCGCCTATCCCTCCACAGGGACAGAAAACACGCTGCTGTGGGGTCATTCCCATTTAATAAATGTCACAGAGAGGTAACCTGAGCAGCGGCTGTAATTAACTGAGCATGTTTGGTGACTGTGTGGCCTCAGCAGAGAGGGAAGAGATGACAGGGTGTGTATGAAGACAGCCATCTTCATTTAGGGATAGTGTTTGCATTAATGAGATGCTGTTGAGGTCATCTGCCGAGCACACATCAGAGAGCAGAAGCATCAGACAGACAAGATATTACCCTCAACCAAACCCAGATGTCCAGATTTACCAACATGCCCAAATATGCATATTTCGAGCCTTGCTTTTGTCCAGGCAAAACACTGAAGTTGTGTTTTCTTCAGTGGGTTGGTAACATCCAATCATATTCATACAGGTGTACGTGATAGATTGACTGTTTAACCAAGCAGCCATCTCTGGGGTAGAAAAATGAAGCCAACGCCGCAGTGCCAAAAACTGAAGATCCTCAAATGGCCACTTGAGGCTGACTCCAAAAGCGAGTCGATCCCCATAGACCTCCATGTTAAAATGCCCAACTTTACAGCAGAAATAAACATGTTTACAGCCTGGTGCAAAAAAAAGTTTCTCCTTTCATGACAACTGTGTGAGGGGTGCATTTTTATATAACTCATCCATTTAAATAATATTAAGGCTAAAGCCATGCATGATTAAGGGCATGGCCGCTCTGAGTGACAGGTGGGTGCCATCACAGGTAGCATATTATAGTGGGTTTATTTAGCTTTTTTATTGAGGAAATGCTAACTGTTATGTTAATTAGTCAGCCAGAGGGGAGGGGGGGTGTACAGGACCTGGACCTGGCCTAGTGAAATGGAAAGGATCTAGGTTGACATGTGTAAAGTTTTCTTCCTTTCTTAGCATCAAGGATGTTCGTTTACACTCAGCTGCCAATTCCACACCTGCGCAGTGTGTACCACAGGCGCTCTCGCGCATCAGTGGTACGTAACGTGTTGGGCAGTAATAGGCCTACTGCAAAATTACTTTTCCCAGTAAAGAGTAATGTAACGGATTACTATTTACAAAACAGTTGTATTATTACAGTTATTAATCCAAGTAACGGTGCGCTACTGAACGTACCATCCCTGATGTGAATGCGCGACCGCGCTGCAGCTCAGCAGCACCAGACTTTATGTTGTTAAAGTCAGCTGTTAGCCAAGAAGCTAAAGGACAACTGAAGAACAGGAAGAGAGAGCTATTTTCGACAGCTGTAAGTAAAATCATTGCCATTACTGTGTCACAGTCTAAGATGCAAAGAACATTGTTGTACGTTGTAAACTTTGTGCTGACCAGCAAAAAGCTTTCAACCTCGAACAGTTCTACATTTATACTTAGGCTAATTGAAGCATCAGCTACAGCAACACAGCAACGTGAAACTCAGAGAGAAACTCCGGCCGCTGTTGCCAGTGATGCCTGGACTCATCGGGAGAGAGTGGCGTTTGTGGTATCCAATATATGTGCATTTGACTCATAACAGTTCAAAATAGCACTGTAGCAACAGGACAGAGGGTCAGTGACCTTCTACGGGGAGAGTAGTGATTGGTGGTTATGTAGGGACTGAACCCTTCTATAGAATTTGACCTCTAACCCCTTGTTTTGTTACCACAGAATAGTACTGTACCCTTCTATGGGTTTGACCTTTTATTTTGCAGACTCAAACCCTGCTATGGTACCTAAACATATCCTATATAAGCTTTGTTTGATGTACAGAGAGACAGAGTGGCCATCGGGCTGGGTCACTCTCCAAGCTGCTGCAGAGCTTGTAATTGATGCTGAACTCTTTGATTTCTTCTCAACACGTCATCGCAGCATTATTGTTTGGACACAACAGAAATGGCACCCCAGATGGGACCGTGTTGTGCCTAAATTCATCGTGCTGACTCCTGCTCCAGAAGCTAGCATATATGGTGAGTTTTCTCATAAACTGTGGGCGCTGGTCAGTTCGTGTGTCTGTGTGTGCGTTAAAGGGTACACCAGTTTGATCCCGTGTGGATGCTTGCGGTTGGATGTGTGAGAGGACACCGTTCTAAATTTTGTGTGCGTTGTGGACAACGCAATAAGGGGTGTGTGTGAATATAATGAAGAAAGATAGATATAAAGATAGATATAAAAGGAAGAAGAAGGAATAGCCTAGTAGTAAAAAGCGGATTTCTTCTCAACATATCATCGCAGCATTATTGTTTGGACACAACACGCTATAATAGGCTATCACCCAGTAGTGGGCCTAAGTAGAGTAGCTAATATTACTTTTTTAAGGAGTAGATCTATAGCCTATGCTAAGTAACTAGTAGGTAATATTATTTCTGAGTAACTTGCCCAACACTGAGTTGACAATAAGGATCAGATAAATTGGGAAAGTTTTGATTATTGCTTGTTAGAGGCTATGTCTAATGTTTACTTTGACTTTGTTGTCTATTGATCACTCATGCTCAGCGGGTCGCTCTGCGCTCCTCATCAACAGACAGGCAAACAAGCGCTCCGCGAGGTAACCATGGCAACGGCTTCTGTGTGACTGGTGTGATCCCGTTAAACTGTCGCGGTTGTTCTCGTCTCATGCACACGCCCGCCTGCTGCCAGAGATGAAATGTCAAACTTTTTCCTACAGTTTCCAACAGATAGAGACTGATCAGCTATTTGAGTTTCCTGAAGAATATAAGTGTTTCTTTAACAGTCAGGCCACCAGGTCTTAAACAGGCAACAACCTTTGCTGCTTTAAAAATCATCTATTAACTTCAACTGAACTAATTTGAAAGTTAGTAGTTACATTATTTAGTTATAGACTCAATTATTTCATGTTTCACGTTGCACATTTAGCTGTTGAAGTTTGGTAAAAATGAATACAAAATAATAATTATTATAAAGAGGTTGCGATGGCGCAGTGTATTAGACCCTTGTCTTTGATTCCCACTGCAACACATCCATTAAATAAGTTATTGTCATGGGTCCTGCTTTACCTTCCATGTTAGAGCTGCCGCCAGTTTAATCAGGGTGTCGGGTGGTCTCAGTATATTTTCCTGCTTTTTTGCCCTTTGCCAATCACATGCCTGCATTCTGGTGATTTTACAACTCAGCTATATGTACACAAATTTATGTGTGTAACTCAGTATTATTGCCAAGAAACTCTTCACAAAGAGACATCAGTTCAAAGATTGTATCAAAGCTCATATTGTAGTTTTACTGGAAATTTTTCCTCAACACAGCTTTGAAATTGTAGCACATGCATAGATATCATGTGACTGTTCTAAATGCAGCTCAGTATCCATATAATTTGTTGGTTGCATTTACTAGTCAACCCATTATTTAGGCTCATTTCAAATGCAAGGGCAGAGGAAGCTGCATTCATAATTACATGACAGAACCTATAACCACCCAGCGGGGCCTGTAAAAAGAGTACAATAATGAGAAAGTGCTACGCTTACCGAGATCAAGATGAATGCTGGGAACGAAGGAGTTGAGAAAAAACATGAAGATCACCACACCAAGGACGGACACACACTTCACTAAGAGGACCTTGTCAGTTATTCTGTGCTGTGGAGGAGAAAATGTATTCTTTTATGATACCACTGACAGCATTTGTCTCAAGCGAAGTTTCAAAAAACTTCATTATTGAGATAACATCAATGCGCCACGGTCACAGTGTGTGAGGAATCTCTCTGAGGTGAAGTATGAAAGCCTACCTTCTTTTGTAATTCTTGAATGTTTTGCTCCCAGTTCTTATCCTCTTGAGAAATTTGGCTGTCAGAAACAGGAACATTTTAATCTCATATTCATTCCATGTTAGTGTCAATAAACAAAAAAAGTATGGACTAATTACTCTCTTAAGAGTTTTAAAATATAAATTAGATCATGAAAAGTGGTGCCTCTAATTGCTGTTTATGAATACATATTGGGTATGAAATTCTATTTTTGGTATAATTGCTACATCTGGGGGGACAAATAAACTATTCTTGGACTTCCTTGTGGTCTTCCATCCTCGATTACTATTATTTTTTTTACGAAACAAAAAGACTACATATAATTACAATGTTTTTCCGCATTCACACAGTATGCACCAATAATGTCTTTATAATGTGTAGTTATACAGAAAATGTGTTTCTGTGAGAGGTGATAAAAACATTCTTAACAATGAAAAATATATTCTGTTTTTCAGTGTTTTGTTGTTGTTTTTTTACCTATGGAAGGTTTTCATCATCTTGCGGAGCAGACTTTCCAGGTTGAGGACTTTTTGCATCAGGAGGCATTTCACAGCTGTCTCCTCTCGGCTAGCGGGGTTAATGCGCTGAGCTGTCTGCCTCCAAACCAGGATCTCGTGCTTGAGTTCTGGATGAACAGGACAAATAGAGCAGGGGAGAAAGCCACCTGTATTTAGTGCATTTTCAACACATAGACTCACACAGTCATTACAATGGAGAAGCTTAGTAACAGTATGTAGCATGTTCATAGTGGGGGATTTGGTTGGTAATAGCTCCTGGAGCTGAGGCTGACTGAGAGGATATAAAGATGTTTTCAGTCAATATGCTGTGAGCCCCTATAGAGGGACAAATGCAAGCAGGCGATGGGCACATTGACCAGCTCAGGAAAAAGCCAATGTTGAGGCAGAGATACAGCTTGAGGGAGCCGGACGCCTGTGTAGATATCAGTAGGTGCCATCCTTTTTCAGGAAGGTTGCTAGGTGACCTTAATAGGATCTAACTGGCACAGGAAAAAAAACATTCCTGTAAGCGAATCCACACAATTACCAGTCGTGGCGGGGGCTTTGAGCTGATTTAGCCGCATGCTCTCCTAGATAGGCCAGGTTGGCGGGAGAAGCGGAAAACTCCACAGGGTGGGATTTACAGATGAGCTATCAGGCCTGCATTGACTGGTCACCACAGCGATCATCAGTGTCTTCCTTCAACCTTCCTGGGGCACCGTGTGACAATATAGCTCCTACCAGTCGGTCTTCCTTACTCCTTAAATGGGAGTTGTCTGGCGACGTCTGGGAGGCTTGGTGGTCTCTTTTTTAATGAGCTCCTGCTGAGGTTTTCTCAGAGGGGGGCCACTGTATTATTGTACTGTAGTACTGATAAGGGGTGACTTTGTTTCTGGAAGAACAACTATCCCTGTTATATTAGTTTGTCCATTATCTACATCCCAGGGGTCTCGTATGCAACGATCTACAGTAGCAGCAAATAGATTCTAGGATGAAGGGCACAGTTACTATGCAAACTAAACACACCCTGTGGTTTTCATTCTTATTAAATGATCGTACTCTACCTCTGGACAATGTAAGGTTTTGAGAGATAGCCAAATAATTATGTTAATGGGTAATTAAAGAGATACAAGAACTGTGCTGTACCAGATTAGCTGAATATTTTCTACAATAGCACAATTAAAAAAAGACACTGGAACCAAGAGGGTAGTCCTGTGCTGCTCTCTGGACAAGTGAAGCATGTTTTTTTTTACAGCCAACTAGTCAAAGATAACAACTGAATATCAGAGTAACAAGGGGTTATTCTGAGATGGGTGAGTCATCAGGCTCTTGATGGAGCTGAGGTGCTTAAAGAGGCTAAAGGTGAAAGTAAACGATGAATTTAGCAGTATGTGCACTTTAATAATAAAACAAAATTTTAGCCACATTTACTGAGACCTAAATTGGGCTTAAAAATCCTAAAAGCAGCTGGAAACCTACTTATAAACTATTACATCATGACCGCGGCTACCATTTTATTAACGAGCACGCCATGAACCAGAAATGTTTAATCTGAGATAACGGGGTGATCTGATGAGGACAATGTGAATGCAGTATTGTGGGAAGTCTTCAGTTCAGAGGGCACTATGCATCATGTGTGGGAGTTAGAAGGCTGGGGCCATAATGAGTTAATTAAGTTTCTATGAGGTCACTACATCACCTAAGAAGGTGAGTCGCTGTAGCGAGCATGTGCACTGATGTTCTTAGCGAGTTAATACACTTCATAATAATAATAATTAAAAGCTGTCATACTTGATTTTAGATTGTGCCACATCCAGAGCAATCCTACAATTTACATGTCAGTCCCATGACAGCATCGTAACTCCCCTGCCGAACGCCACTATTCATCCTTTCAAAATAAATCATCACATATAAAGAAAATGATTTGGCCAAAGACGTGTTTTTTTAACAGAAGCCATGTGAGCTTGAAGAAATATCAGCACTCACCAACTATTTCAATCGACTCTTTGTTATAGAGTTTTTTGTTCCAGTAGAGCATCCGCAGGAACGGAAAGGAGGTGAAAAGGACGAGGCATATTCCAAGGAACATGTAGCCTGTGAAACTGGCAAAATCAATCCCCTGTAAGACAAAGAAACAGAATGTGTTAGACAACAATTTCATTTCATATTAGCATTGTTGCCTAGACATCAGTTTTGATGAGAAAAAAAGAACAGCATGCAGCATGATACTGACACAGTGAGACAAGTCATGTGGTCCTCTGAGAAAGCATCATTCGGCTGTTCGTTGTCTGAGACAAAGAAGAACTCTGGGATAGGATGTGAGCAGGTGCAGGTGTAACCACTAATCTGTTGTTGTTAGATTTTATAGTTCTGTATTTTTGGCAAAGAATAGAGCTGCTAAGATGTACACAGTGGCATTATATTAAGTGACATTATAAGCAATAAAAGTTTAGATTTGAGAGCAGCCTGCAGGAACGACATAAAAAAGCAAAGAATTTGATTATTGCACACAAATGTGCGGTGATAATTGCATCCTCAAGGTTTTTCCATGTTCACCAAGCTCTAGTTTGGCATGGAGCACATCTTACTTCCTGCATGAGTAAGAAATAGCAGCCCCCCGGCTGAAGTTGTCCTCAAAATTGAGAGCTAATCTTTTCCAAAGAATACCATTTTATCAGATACATCCTTGGTAATGTGTCCTTGTATGACATCATCTATATAGCATGTAATTTCTAAATGATGATGCCTGTAAATAAAGCCTTTAAGATGTATCCTGTCTTAGTCCTTATCCTTGCACAGTCTGAAGAATAGTGATAAAACTGGTTAATAGTGACCTCTACAGGATTTGCAATTTGAAGTTTCAACAAAGGCTAAAAAGAGGAGGAGAGGAGGGGTGATACATGAAACATACAGCAGGATAAACCAGGACATGACAAAGACAAAGTTATTCTCTACAACCTGAAAGATCTGAAATATCAGCTATCAAGCATCAAATCAAGTTTGAGTATGAAGAATGTCGTGGCAGGTGTGCAGCAGTAAGTTAAACTCCTCATCAATTGTGCAGCAGACTGGATGCAAATGTTCCCTTGATGTCACAATCTTATTTCATCACCATGTCACCTCATTGCGTTACTCATACGGCACAACTCTGACTACTCTTTTATTCACGCCTCCAAAGAGACGTGCTCTCTCAGTCTCTCAATCTCAGGGCAGGCTTGTGGGTTGGGGATAGCTGCTCATGCAAGCCTGGTGTAAAAGAAAACTCTTCCTAGAAACTAGAAACCAAAACTAAAAAACAAAGAAATGCAATATCATGTTTCTGTATCTCAGTCCACTAAATCCTAGTAACATTTTTCCAATCGTTCCAATTATTCTATAGCACGCAAGAGAGCAGAATCTATGTTTTGTCTGTGTTTGCTGCTGTAATGTATCTCTGTTTGCAGCCATAAACTGTGACGCTGGTGTGTCCATATTTCAGAGCCAGTGTCAACGACACCTCTAACTGGTTGGAGGAGATCCATTTGGCAAAGGAGAGTCACCAGTGTCCCTCAATAAAATTATACCAAAAAGGAGGTAGACATTTTGTATGCGCCATGCTACTTGCTCTGGAACAAATCAAATACAAGGACACTCTGATGAGGGACAGAATCGCCTAAACACACACTTCACAGCTGTGCCGTTCGTTCTATCTCTGGAATTCTCATGAAAATCCCCTTGACAAAAACAAGCAAGCATGCAAACAAACAAACAGGCAAGCAAACCATGCATGCACACACAAGCTGTCCTTATCAGAGGCCAGACATGACTGGTGACTGGGTCACCTGGGAAACTGAGCCAAGACAAAACGGACAGCAGGCCGCGGGAGCCTGGTGTTGTAGGAGCTACTGTACACCGGAGGAGACCAAATATACTGCCTGCACCCGCAAAGGCGAAAATGTCACGCGCAGCGAACAGATGCCACATCAAGCAGCTGGGAAAATGTCATGTCTTCTAGTGATGTAGCACTATGGCCCTCTGAGCATAAGAAGACTGAAGGTTATGAGAAGAGCCCACAAGTCATTGCCCTTTTCAGACAGTGACAGGCTGCCCTGATTAACTCAGCGATATCTTATTACTGCTGTTAACTGACATCACTTTTGTCACAATCTGTACAATAGAGGACAACTTGCCTCTAAATAGTTTTCCAAAATATCATGGGGTGAGAGAGAATAACAATGTAAAGTGGGCAGTGAAGTCAATTTCATTCTAGTCCCAGGGTCAAAGTCAGCTAAACTAATATTTAAATGCAGGTATGATGTGCTACAGCGATGCAAATTGATGATGTATGGCATGGATTGCCACCAAGGTCTCAACCAAGTGCGATGTACACCACAGGAAACGAGCCAGGCGTTCAGTTACATGGTTTCACACATCCTTGCATCAGGAGTGATGCTGTCTCCTTCACAAGTTTAATCAGACACTAATACCAAAGAAAGGGTCTCCAGTGTGACCTACAGTAGCATGCCACTCATAGAAGACCAGACCAGACCGACATAAGCTGCTGCAATGGTGCAGGCGAGCAAGTATAGTATACTGTAGTATAGTATACTGTAGTATAGTATAGTTATATTTATGCTAAAAAAGGTTTGCACAAGGAGGTATTTAAAGTCAAATCTTATAAATGTTTGGCTATAGGAAGACTGCTAATGCGACAGCATTAGGCAGATACCTCTTTCTCTTTCTCAACTGGTTTGACATTTTTAATTCCTATGATTTATGATGGCAGCAACAAAAATATAAATTGGTTTCACTGCCACTACATCTCCATTCATCACCTCAACATCAACATAAATAAAGGTTGAACAGGGTCACAGCTCACGACTGTATAAATACATTAAGAGATTGTGCTAAACAGAGATAACATATGCACAACCCAGCAAACACAGATGATTACATTCACGCAGTGCTTACCCATAAAATACTTGTCTGTATGTACACTATAAATGTGTGTATGCACTGTAAAGTCTTTATTAGGTATTGAATGTCAGAGCTTATAAGAGGAATATGAAGGCTTTAGAAAACTGCCTGCAGCATCACACCTGCTCGTAAAATCTCACCTTAAGGTGATACAGTAATTGCATGACTTTGCAACACACATTCCTCTAGGATCTTTTATTTAACGACAGTGTCTTTGAGTATCTTGAAAAGCACTCTATATATAAAAAGTATTTTTAATACATGTATTGGGTACCCAATGTTACTATCCTTATCCACACTAATGTTTTAATATAAGGAAAACAACCTCAACGAAGATAGAAAACCTCAGTATTATATTAACACAACCTCCAGAAAGAGATAATGATATTTAGTACATCATCAAGGACCAACTTAAATGTCACCATTGAATTTATGAAACTTTTTCAAAGCAAACTGTAAAAATTTACAATATGTTTTCTTTGTCATTGAAGAGATATCACCTGACAACAGTGATATTTGATTAATTTAATTAACAGCAGATTTGAACAAAGTAAAGGTGGCAACAGTCTTAGATTTCATAATGAAACTTGGCAGTTTCAGACTACCATGTTGTGCTGAGCCTGTTGTAGAGGAACTGTTGGTTTTGTGTGCTTGAATGCTAAAGTAGCTTTTAGTCATTTTTGCGCAAAAAGACTCACAAAATCCTTCACCGCCTAGAGGGCAATGAATCAATATAAACACAGTAACTTCATCAATACAAATAACCTATAAGAAAAAGTCTTAATAATTCATTTTTTTCCTGGTGGCTGTTCCACACGTGTGTGAACGTAAGTTTCTGTTTGAGCACTTAGGCTCAGTGTGTAGATGTAGTGTAAAAGCACTTTGAGTGGTCTAAAAGACTAGAAAGGCGCTATACGGAGCATTTATATTGCTGCCTCAATTCAAAAACAACCGCCCTCTGGAATAGTTGATTGCCAATACAAAAAGATAAATAAAGGACTAGAAGAGACGTGAATCCATTTCAGGTGATTTGTCATTCACCTGTCAGTACAACACCATCTGTACAGCTTAAACAGCAATTTTCTCATCATCGTATTAATAGCTGTTGCTCACAAGTCATGAGGAGCATTGTGTTTGCTTTACTAAGTGTCTGGTTCATGTGTCAGATTACACCGAGCGGATCTGGTACAGTACATCAGTGCTTTAGTTTAGGCAGAGAGCTGTGAAAGTGCCTACTTCTTTGCGCAGGTCCTGATTTGATACTATAATCACATTGGGTGGATCTCCGACAGCTGTGGCAGCCCCTCCAATGTTGGTGAAGATTACTTCTGCAATCAGGACATGTCTGGGGTCTAGATTAAGCACCTCACACAACCTGTAAAATCAGATAGAGACAGAAAAGCCCTTTAGCCCCGATTAGATTTGACGGCTTGTGGGAGAAATAAATGCAGGAATATAAAAAGACATCAGTCCTTCACATCGAGGCTGTACAGGATATACACCCGCTGGCCTCGTTACAAATTAGAGCACAGTTTGGCCCAAATCTGTGTTATGTTTATTGGGTGTCTAAGTTCAGGCAAGTAAAATATCATTTCCAGTATATTCTCATTTTTTAGCAGCAAAAGCAATTTTTTACTAGAATTATTGTATGGTTACTACCTATGCATCACTGATTAGCTACATTAACTTAAAGGCAAAAAGCTAAAAAAATTTAATTAACTTCTTCTATAACCTTGATACACGGCTAGCCTGGCTCTGTCCAAAGTTAACAAAGTCTGCATACTGGCTCCTCAAACACTTACTAATTAAATTTTGTGTTAATTATATGTGGTTTGTTTAATCTGTACAAAAACCGACAATGCTACAGTTAGACTCTACCTTATGGTGACAGGGGTGAAAAGCATCATAGTGGTCACATTGTCCAGAAAAGCAGAGAGAATGGCAGCGATGAGACAGAGGATGAAGATCATTGGCCACACTCTTCCTCTGGCTAACTGGTAAGCCTACAGAGAGAAGTAAGAGGACAATGAGGGAATGTTAATGGTAATGAGTAAAATCGAGTCAAAGTAATCATTGAGTGGTGTTGCTGAGGACGGGTTCTGACACTTCTGAAATGTGTTTCAGCCTTTCAAAGCATCAAAAATGTCATAGTCATATATCATAAATAAGCACTTTAATGCTTAAATTACCATTATGAGTAGTAGCACTAGAAAGGGCAGTGTATTCAGATTCCAAAAATAGCCATGTCATATTGAACTACGCACAGATTCACACTCAGTCTTTGATGCTAATATGCAAGTATTAGCCCCATGGGAGCGGCTCAGGATGACCACCTTTTGGATGTAATAGTACATCAGAGCTGCCAAGCTGTTCTCAGGGAAGGTATTTTAATTTGGAGTGCCTGCCCTTGTCCAACTCACACTTAAATCCATGTACCTGCAAGATCCCTCGATTTATTCTCCTTGTCTGAGTGCTACTGTACCTAAAGGACAAAGGCATTTGCCCTCCTTCGCCATCTACACCGAATATCCAGGATTAAAACTGAGCATGCCAGGGCTGTTGACCTTGATGAAGGTCTCATCTCCTACTGTAGAGTAACAGACTTATTTGAGAATGTGGATCCCTTCATTATTCGTAGGACACACGTAACACAATAGTACAGCAAGGCTTAAGCTAAAGTTATTGTGTTAAAGCTAAATTAACTTTGCAGTACTGAAGTCCGCAACGAGAGCAATTGCAGTCGGAGAAAACAAACTATTAAACAAACTCGGCTCATTTTAATAGACAGTGCTGACCTAGTTTTCTGAACCTTCCCATAAAACAAATGTCATTCTTGTCAGCCTGTTACAGTGCTGTACTTTAAAGTCAGGATGTAAAGATAGGCATCAAACTTGTTAGGTCATCTTAGATTACAAAGGTCTTCCCAAATATTGGTCATGTCATAGCATAACAACTACAGGCTTGTCATGTATTAGTGCTAATTTCAGAAATAGCTCAAAGCTTGTCGCCTTTGAGACAACTCTAAAATACCAGTGGGCAGCTATTTTCATAGACTCGTCACTCAATATCCCACATGGTCAAAGGTCATGCAAAAAGTATCCCCTCATGTTCAAAACGTCAGACTTTCTCTACTGATTGTATTGATTTGGTTATTTTCTGTGTTGGTACTAGGACCCATCGCACAGCCTGCTCACCTTCACAGCACAATAATCAAAGAAGCCAGTCTCTGAAAATATGGCCACCAGTACCATCTGGAAGAAAGATGAAATTTTTGTTAAAAAACAAAAATCTTTTACTATTATGTAACAAGATCATATTTCAAAAATAGTCACCACAGACGACAAGTCGGTGCTCACGTAAGAGATGGCAGTCGGTAAAACAGACATAACCAATGTGCTCAACTTTCAGGATTCCAGCATTCTTTTCACTGATACTTTATCGTCATACCCGTCAAGGTACCACAGCAAAATGAGTGCAAAGGCCAAGAACATGGTCCAAAAAAAGTGGTGATAGCTCCAAACTGTTATTGAGTGATATTTACCTGAATATATATTATACACAAATAGTTTAACATAATTGCTTTGTATGGAGTTTGTTGTAGCACATATAAATACACGGTGTCTTTGAAATGTGTTGCCTTTACTGTAGGTTTGGAATATTTTCAGAAAGCACCTCTGCTGTATTTCACAGAGTAAGATGAACATTTCAGTGGCAGCTGTTGACAGTGGAAGTTGTCCAAAGGAAGCTACCATCTGTGGTCATGCATCAATATGAAATTTAGAAATTTACATATCACTGATCTGGCAGAATTATCTTTAATGTGAATAATGATTACTATAATATTTTGTTATAGATGTGATCAGCTATGAAGTTATAATGTGTCTGAAAAGAATGGTTTAACTGAAATACAGCCTTTTAAGCCTTCATAGAAACTCTTCAGACATCCTCTTCTTGACACTTGACAGGAAATGTTTGTTTCCATGGAGACAAGTTTTTATATTGTCAATTTCACTTGCCTCCACATAAACAGATTTCACTGTCAGTAGTTGATAGACTGATCGAAGACTGATAGAACGTGCATAAAGGGAAGTGAAGATGGTGATATGAAATAAAATAATACTTCTCACAAACCAGACTGTCCACAAGAGTTTAATTAATTTAATCATTAATTTGATTTATTGGTCTAACCATGCCAAACAGGAGAGCCAGCGTCTCATAGTCGATCCACTCTACCACAGTAACCAGACTGGGCCGCTGTGGGAGAGACAAAGAAAATAATTAGATGTGACAGAGATTTATTAACAATTATCAGATCTGTGGAGAAAAAGCAAAAAGGTAAAAGTCAAAAACTTCATGTCAGATTAATGAATCCCTAGTTAATGTGGCAAACTGCTATTTCCAGTACAGGGCTAAACTTCCTGGCAAGTTTAACACATTTATTTGTTGTAACTGTAACTTTGTTGTGTTTTGGCACTGCTATAACTCCTCCTGGCCCAGATTCTGCCTTTGGGTGCTATAGGTCTTTTTCCACAGACGACATTTTGACTTGTTATAGCAGGAGAAGCACAGGTGGAACGTGTAACACTAACGATGGCTCTGTTCCACTGAATTGCCCAAGTGAGCCCACAGGGTCAATACTCTCAAACCGGAACCCGTAATTAATGTTATTAATTACACCTGTGCATTCCCTACATAAGTTGGAACTTTGAAAACTATTTTCCAACTTGTGATACTTTACTGACCCTTAAAATCTAGGAACTAGATACCCTTCCTGCATTCATTGCACACCCTTCTTTTTGCTGCAATAGATTCTGAGTGCTGTTTCAACACAAAGAACTACATTACATTAATTCATTTAGGTGATGCTTTTATCCAAAGCAACTTACATTTGCTATACATGTCAGAGGTCGCCCACCTCTGGAGCAACTAAGGGTTAAGTGTCTTGCTCAGGGACATGTTGGTGGATGTGTCACAGTGGGGAATTGAACCTGGGTCTCTCACACCAAAGGCATGTGTCTCAGCCACTGTTCCATCCCCAACTATCAGCTTCTATACAGACAATCTATAATTAAAATCTTGGCTTTTATTTTTTAATGACTTCTGTATGTATGTGAATACAAGAACATCTCAAACTATAAATTCTTCTGGTACAAAAATGAAACTGGCCTAATTGACATGGCAGCCATTTTGAATCCTTTGAGTGGGAAACTCTACCAGGAAGAAGTAATTAACCCAGCTCTGTTTACCAACTCTATCTGTTTACAACGACTTGCTATCAATTCAGCTAGGGTTGCTAGCTAACTTGCAACTATTTTAAGCTAACAACTTTCTGTCTAATTTCAAGCTGTCCTTATTGTTCCCTGAAATTTCTGGCAGATTGGCAACTCAAATTTTGACAAAAGTATAGTGTTTGAATAGCTAAGCAGTTCTAGCCATCACTCATTAAAACAGAAGAGTAAAAGAGACTCACATCACCAATGACAGCCAGGGCAGCTAAGGCTGCCAACGATCCCAGCATGGCTGCCAGAGTGCGGTGCACAATCTGAAAATTCAAAAGATTCACCAGAAACAATAAATTGAATGGCTCGGAAGGTTACAATATTAAAATATCAACATTTAGATAAAGATTAAACCACTATCTTTCTCTCTCTCTCACTCTCCTTCACAGAGCTACACTCTTACAAAAACTGAACAACCCAACTCAAACAGGCACATTAAGTCAATTATTCTCCATTTACATGCATAACAAATCTGGAATTCAAGTCAAATACTTTAATTACCTTAGGTTAAGTCACATGGGTGGAATAACTATATAGTCACTGCTGCAAATCGTTTTAATTCAATCATCATTCATTTATTATGTTATGTTAAGTTTTTATCTTACTCATGGTGTGGTGTTGTTTTCTTTTTAACTTTTTGTATCTGTTATTAAAGGCCATACTGCATGTCAAACTGTACACTGTAATTTAAAGAGACAATCTTAAAACAACCAACTATTTTCTTTAAAGGAAAGATGAGTCAAAACAATGTTGCTGGGGCCCATGTTTCATTAGGTCTATGATGGTTGTCATTTCTTTTCTGTAAAATATCGAAAAATGCAGAACTTCAAGGAGATTACAAACAACTCCATGCTACTGTAAGAGTCACCCTGCTCCACAAGGCTCCATCACCACACTCATGTATGATGCATCCCATT